GGGGAGTGCGGTGAGGCGAGGGGTCGGTTTCTCCAGTTTCAAACCCGGTGTTTTGCCCAGCGTGTGCCGCTTCTGCCGCACCACCCGATGGCAGAGTCCTCTGCAGGCGTGTCTGTGAAGCGTGCCAGTCTTTTCCTCAGATGTCTGTCATTATTCCTGGCGTCGAGGCTGGCGTTTCGCTAGTTACCCCTGCTCACACCCTTCAGGGGCGCAGCATTTCCCGTAGCTGTTCCTGCCAAACAACCTGGTTACCTTCCTGCAAGCACCTTTCTGTTGTGAGGTAGCCAGAACTGAAACGTGAACCTCAGAAAACCTCTTAATCATAAAAACACTGAAGAGCTACGTCTGATGACTTGACGAGGGGTCCCATATGGAGTTGTCATCCTGCAGCTCTGGTCTTCTTACCGTTAATGTTCTTAAAAGATTTGCTCTGTTTTTGCCATGTTTTGGCTCACTATGAACTAACAAAAGGCGAAAAACTAACAAAATGAAAGGAAGAAAGTGAAAAAAGACCTGCAAAACTTGCTGTTGTTTTCTAACATTCAATGCTATTTGAACACATCAAGAGCTGTATATAATACTTCCGAGAAATTATATATGAGGCAAGTTACAGTTTTGTTTTATAGCTTCCTATAAGTCCCTGGCATACGTCTAGCACATCCATGAGACAATGAAGGACAGCATGCCCATCAGTAAGCCTAAAGTTTGTATAAAAAGCTTACAGCATTTCTGGGAGTGTTTAGGGCTCTGTAAATAAAAAAGAATGTGGAGGAATCTGTGTAGTACAAACAAGTGAAGTCTCTTTATTTATATTCTGTTGCTGTAAGTACAACATAATTTAGGTTTCACACGATAATAAATGGAAGTCCTGTTTCTTCTGCACTTTTTTTCCCCCTTCTTTTTCCCCTTAATACCTCCATTTCCCAGAATCACTTTTGTTACTGGCAGCTCCTAACCCTTTGCCTGTGTTAAGACTTCCTTCAGTGTCCTTATGGCCTTCCTGCTGCAGTTGAGAGCATTTTTTTTTTTTTTTTTTTTTTGCCAATACTATGTTCCCATCCCAGTGGTGCATATTTGAGATGTACATTTCTCAGCACACCGAGTAAGAGTGCCATACCATTTCTTGGTGGCTTCTGTGATGAATAGCCACAACTTCAAGGAGCTGTGATAATGGAAAATTACAAAGCTTGTCGAGAACATTGTCCCTCCTTAGGGGGGTGGCCGCAGTGGGTTTTCTTCAGATTCCTTCAATGCAGGTTGGTGTGTGACCATCCCTGACAGTTCAGTCCAGCAAAATGCTGTGTGACTCCTGGGAGGCAGCAGGAGCTGCCAGGTTCAGGGAGCAACTTGATACCTGAGGTTTGTGGGCAGAGAGGCTCCAGACACTGCTGGTGATGGCATAGAGCAGCCATCCATCACAGATAACATCTTTGCATGTATTTCAGTATGCATACAGAGAATTATCTTGTACTACCACACTTTTATTGGTTTTAATTTCAGAAGGGGAAAAATGGAGGGGCTCACATTCTTCAGGTATCCTCCTGAAGTTTCTGCTTTCTAGCATTCAACTGTCAATGCTTTCAGTGAAAGATATCTGAAGGGGTATAGTAGGAATTTAGCTATTTTATGTTTCTACACCATTTACCTAGGTGCTTTCTTTTCACCAAAGCATATTACTAATGTGTTTGGGCTGTGGAGATAAGTTTCTAAATTAGGGCAAGTGCAAGAGGTTTAACTTAACTGTACCATCTCAGGATGTATAGTGTATATGTGAAGCCACTCAAAAAACTTACATATTGTTACATATCTCCAAGTGTGTTATCTTCACTTAACAAATGTACCCAAAACAATTAGCTCTTTAGAAGTGGTCAGCTGTGCATATGCTATATTATTTGGATGCAGCTTGTGTTTTGCCACAGAAATAAAGTATTAGGACTCCAATAACTGTAGCAGTTCCTGAGCTCTTCTGAAAGACTGGCCAGTCATCCAGAATCCACATGTCCAGTTGTTGACTTTGGTGCTAAATTTAAACTCTTCTGTTGTTGTTGTTGTTTTGTTTTGCTTGTTTGTTTTGTTGGTTTTTTTTTCTCTTTCGTCAGTATTAAATATCTTGTTTATGCTTTTCAGCTTCCCATCACCAATGTTTCTTGGAATTGGACAGGTATGTTCAGAAGTAAAGCACAGTAAATACACTAATTGTTTTGTAAGTTAAACTAATGTTAGCACAGAGATATATTTTAGGTGGGGAAGTCTCTGTTATACTTCACTGCTTGTCTTCTGGATGAGATACACCATAAGGAAGAGTGATTAATATTAGTGAAATCAAGGAAATTTCAGCTGAAGTCGAAACTATTGCCTGGGAAGAGTCACGTAAAGGACTGGAAATGCCATTTATTTCCCCTGGTAGAGTTCAGTAATTAAGAGATCTGGCCTTCAAAACTATGAAGGTTTGTTCTAACAAGTGCATAGATCCTATGAGAATCCTTGAGCACTTGCAAATTATATGCAGAGACATTTCCTCTATTTGTAGACAAACGGTGTATTTCCTCATAAATCTCTCCCACCTTTCCCAGCAGTTTTCCAGCAGGACTGCCACACAGTTTTGGTTGGTTGTTGCCTCATTTCCCTGTGGGCAATTAGCAGTACTGCAGGAGAAATATATTGTTTGTATTTTGTTTTGTTGTTAGGAGGCATCATGGTAAAACCAAAGTTCAAATGTTTGTGTCCATGGTCCTTAAAGAAGAACATGTGACTCTGCAGAGGGATGGCTGGGAAAGATGGAGCCTTGAAATAAGTGTTGTTTAGGCAAATACATTTAAAAGAGAAGCTTTTGTTTTCTGCCAAGGTTACAAGCCAAGGGGTAGTGAGGAAGAGGTGAAAACAGGGTACTGCAGTTCTGATATCCCCGCTCTTTGGTGTTAAAGAGCGTAAAATGTCATGTAAAGTCTTTGCTCTATGAGAGGGGAAGAGAAAGAGAGTTTCACACATCCACACTGCTCAAGGAACCACACATCATATGGAAGCCAAAGACTAGCAAATGTGGCAATACTTCATGTTAAGGGCAATGATATGGCCTTGTTTCTTTACAGAACCTAAGCCTCAATGGCATTTCCATTTTTGTTGACTGATCCTTCCCAGATTTCCCTGAGTTGTTTGTGAAATGTATATGGTGTAATGCTTTAGCCTTTAGAACATGACTCCACCCCATTTTCTAGATAGACGATTAATGGATTTTTATATAAGGAAAATTTTACACTTTTTTCTCTGCCTGGGACCAGCATTAACTCTTATGATGTGTGATTGCTCAGCTGTCGCCTTCATTCTGTCCATAACTTCATTATTCATTCCTCATATTGACAATAGACTGATCAATGCACAACCCCTGCCTCACATTACAAGAAAAGCTGTAGGAGTGATTCTGCAAACTAAACAATGCTCTGGGTGAAAATAGCATGATTATTCCAGTATTGTCTCCTGTTTATTTTCTCAGCTCCTTCTCAGCATGACTTGTTTCACAGAGTGCCACTAGTTTTCTCAAGCCAGTAAAACGTATGTCAATATTGTACTTTTAATAAAATAGCAGGCAAAATTGGTAGTAATAAAGTTATGCCAGTTTATTAATTGCATGCTGGGTTGTTCTTTGAAAAAAATACATTTGTCAAATGCGTATAAATATTTCGGTTTTGAAGCAGTTATTTCATTCATACATTACAATTTTGCTGTTACTTGACTTGTTTTTTTCTTTTTGTTTAGATGGCAGCCACCATACTTATATTGTATGTGTCAAAATTAAATAAGATTGTTCGCTTCCCTGATTTTGACAAAAGTATACCTGTGAAGGTAAGGATTGGTATTAATAAGAAAATATTACCTCTTTTAATGTCATTCTTTCTTATGGAGACAAGATATAAAAGAAGAACAAAACAAATTTGCCTTTGTTTGTGAAATGTGTTTATTTGTATCTTTGTTTCGTTTAGTGTTGGGTTTGATAATTTTAATTTCATTGTAGTGTTCTTGCATTTTATTTGCAAAGAAATCTGGTGCCATTTGGTTGTGCAGTACATGGGAAAGTGTGCTGTACCTTCATACAGCTTGATGAACTCTTTCAGATTCCTGAAGTATTTTTCTGGATGTGTACAGCTCCCTGCAGGATCAATGGGAAATCTGTGCTTAAGAAAGATTTTGATCACAGTATGAAAGGCTGTTTGGAAATTTGAATGGGACATGTGATAAAACAATAGAAAAAGAAACCAAAAACCCGAACAACAGTTGATTCCAAATGTGAGATTTATGTTCCATGGGAGATGGTAAAATAATGTCCCCCAAAGATACTGTAGGTAGGGACTAGCTGCATCATGAAGACTTCAAGTGCGTATGGTCTAAAGAGGCAGGATGGAGAGACAATGTGAGAGGATCTTTTATTATCTCAGATTGAGAACTAGGAGCTGAAATTATTGTAGCAGTGGTCCTTGTAGATCTTTGCATCCATGTGTAGTGTTGTTGGAGATTTACTTTGATGCATAAGCTTCTGTATTTTTTGTCTTGGTCAGTGTTTGCTCAGAGATACAGAGAGAGTTAGCTTCTAGCTCTGCTGCAGCGCATTTCAGACCAGCATCTTCATGGCAGAATCTTGTCTTACTACCAGTATGGGGTTTACTATGAATATCTCACAGCCATTGGCAAATGCTGTATTTTCTTAATGCATGCTGAAATCATCAGCATTTCTGCATGTAGAAATCTTGTAGGAATATCTATGGCATTGATTATAAAATGAACAATCCTTATTTTTTTCCAAAACGTGAATGAAGAAGTTTTTCCAGTGAGTAGTTTTCAGTTTGGCATGTAAACAACTTGCTGAGACCTCAAGAGGTTTTTTCTCTCTGTACCCCTCCAGTCCCACTACGCTCCCTTCCTGCTGTGGCCTTCACTTTAAAATTAGCACAAAGGCATTAAAAAATACAGCACCCATTTTCTTTGGCCTAATAATATCTATCCTTTGGAAGATTTCCCTGGATATGCTGGGAGCGGTCAGCACTGCAGCATCCAGGACTTAGATATTTCTTGTAGTGCTGAATCTGACTAGTCACAGTGAATTAGCTGAATTGCTCATTGTTGATTTCTTTACTTTTTAAAGCACCTTTTGACTGACTCTTTAGCCTTTTGACCACTTTTGCTTTCATTGACACTAAGATTATCATTGCTTTTCACTCTCAGTGAGTTTTATGTCCTCACTGCTTTCAGCTAGAGTTTTAAAGTAGCAAAGTGCCTATTTTAGTGAGAAAGCTTTGGAGTTCTTGACCCTTTTTAAGTAAAAGTTGCGTTGAGCTCTGATGTTGTGCTGGATGTTGTGATTTTGCCTTTACAACAGATGAAGTTCAGAGGAAAGAGAATGTAATGTCAGCTCTGTTTTCATGCTATCAAGGAAGATAGTTTTCCAAGAAAAGTCTGCAGAAGAGAGTGTATTACAAAATTTTTGCAAGCTTATGTCGACAGTCTGAATGTTGTTACTTTTACTTTATACTCCAGTTTACTTTTACTGCTACCTCCACTTAAAATTTAACTTTAGTTAATTGACTTTTACTGTACTTTTCTCCTCTCTCCTCTTTGCTGTAAAAGAAAGGCAGATTTTTTTAACATTGATAGAATGGAGCCCATTCCAATGTATCCTTTTCCAGCTCACAATGCTTTGAGAAGACATGGCCTCTAACAAGCACAGTGTCTCCTAAAGCATGTATAGGCACAACAGCAGCTGTTACCCATGTTAGGACAGAGAATCTGTTTTGTCTTTATGCCATTTCAGCTCTGCTTGACTGATAATGAATGGGACTGCATGTACACACCACCTTTGTCCCCAGTGATTACTCTGGCCGGTTTTAATCTTGTGCAACTTTTCTGTAGCTGGAGAATAACAACTTTGAACTGCAGCTGAATATTGTGTAGGGATCCCTGACTTCTGGTACATTTTCTTAAGGCTCTGAAGCTCTGTTATTGCATCTCTGTATTGTGTTGTGTTTCTGTGGGAGTCAGTCTCATTGTGCTAGAAGCTGGAAATGGTAAAGTTTATACCCCTAGATACTTCTCTTTCCTTTCTAGTATCTCACATAGCATAATTTATTAGGTAAGTCTAAAATGGTGTTTCTTTCAGGCACACTAATATATGTGGAGTAGCTAGAGAAGCATAGCATACTTACAGCTTATTCATTCTGTCATTCCTCGTGTTTTCTTGCTTATTTAGTTACTGTTGTTAGTATTACTTTTACATCTAAAATTCAAATGTTAGAATGAGCATTAATCTGAGGATTGTAGTAATTAAAATGAAGCTGATTAACATTTACACTAAATGGGAGTCTGAGTCTTATTAGAGGTAGATTGTGACTCTTATAATCAAATCAGTGAAGCTGTGTCCGTGAACGGTCACATGAATGAGAGCTGCAGATCAATTTGGAGCATACATTTTTTTTGCCTTAAAAAACTCTTTCTTGATAAAAGTATATCTGATATTACAGTTATCAAATTCTATCAAATGAAGTTTCTCAACAGTATTTCAAAACAATAATCTGGGTTGTGCTTTTAATTTTATCACAGTTGTTTCCTCTGCCCCTGATTTATGTTGGAAACCACATAAGTGGATTATCAAGTACCAGCAAACTCAGGTACAGTAAACTGAAGTTATAAGTAGACTGTTTCGATTTTACCCTTTTCCTTGGTGGGGGTAAAAAATAAACACTAAAAAAAAAAAGTATTGGGTAGGGACTTAAATGCATATGATGTCTGTCTGTCTGTCTAAACCCCTGATACTATTATTGAACTCTTACCCAAACATTTGATCAGTTCACAGGTTCTCTGGTTCTATTAAGGGGGGCTTAACTAGGCCTGTACTGACAGAAAATCACAATAATCCTGTGACAGTGAAAATGCTTTCACTTTTCCCTCATACCAAAGCATCCACTTTTTCCTGAGTGTCCTAACCAGAGAGTTTGAAAGCTGTAAGAAAGACATTTTTAAAGGAAGAAGAATATAGGAAAGATTTGTACCATGGTGTCAGCGCAGGTTATTTAGGACACATCGAGGGATGGAAAAACTACGGTGTAGTGGGGTGGCAGTGGCAGTGTAGCCCTGCTGAGCACCAAGAACAGGTTGTGGGGAGATTGCTAGAGGGCTCACTGGCTCCTGTATGCCTGTAAGCATAGATCCATGAGGGTTGCTTCCATGCTAGTGCTAGAAAGGTGTAAGCTATGTAGAGGACCTTCTGTAATTGATTGAATGACCAAATTTTCTATTGAAGAGGAGTGCAGAAGCATGACAGCTGCATCAGTATTGGTGGATACAGCACTATGGTTGTCATGGTTTCTTGTATGTTATTACAGGCACCTAAGGATTTGATAGTAAGCTAAACCAAAACACAGAACTTTGCAGGTTTCCAGCATTTCATATCTTTGAAAAGTTAAGCACCTGATTCTGCAACTTTTTTGTTGTACACATGCAGAAGTTGTTCCACTGCAGTGACTGTTCAGGCAGACATAAGGACTTGGGCAGGGGTGTCCCTAGTAGCACTTCAGCCAGTATGAATATGGAATTAGTTTCAATCCTGTAAAAGTTTGATTCATGGTTTCTTCTTTCCTCTGTTTCCCTAAGTGTAATTTTAAAATAAAAGTTTATTAGGTTATTTTAAACATAAGTGCACCATCTCCTCCTCCTGCGACTGACGTACTTCTTTCAGATTTACTATTCATAACTGATTTTTATAACAGAAAAGTAAGAATGGCAGCAGTGTTTCTGCCATTAACATTTTGATCCATTGAGTTTTTTTTACATTATGTGACATTTGTTTACATTATAGAATTTTCTGCCTTATTTGGGTTGTCTGTGAAGTATAGGTGGTCCTGTGCGTAACTTCAAAATGTGTGTTGTAAACTGATTAAGTTAGGATTTGTAGCATTTATTAGTGCAGTTGCTAGTAGTTATCTTAAACAGAGGATTAATTGGTCCATGTGGCCATGCTGTCAGATTTCCAAAGCCTCAGATGCAAGTGTTTTCTCAAATTAGTCAAAAAGGTTTCCAACTGTATCACTTCCTGTAGACCAAAAATATGTTGTTCAAAAGTAGCTGTTTGTTTGGCAGTTGCAGCTGGGCCCACCTTTGAGGTTTCTTGTACTTTCTCTGTTCTTTTTATTGTGTATTTATTTTACTTTTTTGAAAGTACAGCTTGTTTACTAAGCATGTTTGCTTTGTGTTTTATTCTGTTATGTGTTTTCAGAGACAGGTTTATTGTGTGTCCTTTGAGTTTACAATAGAAATAATTTTTACTTACCCTGCCTGCTAATTCTACATGAAGAATTATTTCATAGGGGCTGGGCTAGGTAGAAAATAGCTTTTATATTTCATTTCACTGATGCAGAGGGGCCTTTTAGAAGGTAACAAGTTGCATTGTTTTACAAACTGGCAAATCTTGTTATTTTTCCATGCTTTGGCTATCTAATCTGCCTCTAATGTCACACTGACATTTTTTTAATGTATGCTAAGTGGCTGGGAGTTTGTTTTGTTTGCTTATTGCTGGACTAATAGTTTCATCCTCTGCTTGGTAAAATTAGATAAGAGTTAGAACATAAAAATGCTATTAATCTGACACTGTGCTTGGATTTTTTTTTATTTTTTTTTGACAGTTTGCCGATGTTTACAGTGCTCAGGAAGTTTACCATTCCACTTACTTTACTGCTGGAAATCATCATACTTGGGTGATCCTTCTTTTTTTTTTTCTGTTAAGATACTTTTATTTTAGATTGTATGAAATGGATTGCTTGTGGCATCTCATCAGAATATTGAATGAGTGTCTTTTTACTGGGAAATAGAGAAAACCAAAGAAAATGGGTTTATGTAGCTTTTTTTTTTAAGACATAGGTATATGCGCTTTAGTGATTATAGGAAAAAAATTCAGCTTGCTGTCATTTGCACAGCTCATTCTTTTGACTGTTGCACAGGAATCAGGTAAGCAGAGCATGACTCAGACACTTCTTTTAGCGATTATGGTTTGTGTCTTGTCTTGGAGGTACCTAAGCTGCAAACTGCATCAAACAGACAGATCCTTATGTCTTAAAACAGTGATGATAGTATGGCAGTCTGCTTCTTAGAGTAGCTTTCTAGGTCAAGACTGAAAACATACCAGTTTAATGGAGCAAAATGTATTTAGCAGTGTGCTGTTAAATGAGAAAACTCCATAATTATAGATACATCAGTTATTTTTAATGAGAAATTAAGAAGTGTATGCTATTGTATGCTATTGCAGCTTGGGATCACTAGTTTCAGTTATACCAGTTTGGAAGAACAGCAATATAAACACATCATACTATGTCACCATCATAGTTCTGTCCAGGTGTCTTGCACTTGGCTAAGACGAGGTCAGAAGGGGAAAAGCAGCTTACTGAAGCTGAACCCAGGCAACACGAGAATGATGATCAGGGGAAAAGCTTTTCAACAAGCCTCCAACTAGATTGGCATCTCCTTTTGGCTAAAGCAGCAGTTGACCAATGTGATTCGTATTTGGGGATGCTCCAGAATTCTTTTCTAGTTAAAAGTTCTCACAGGGAAAGCAGAACTCGCTGTTGTCTCCTGTTGGCCTGAGGCCTCCTTCAAAGCAAGTGAGTAAAATGTGAGTCAGTGACATTGTCATCAGTTCTCAGCTGAGGTACAGCAATGTGGCATATAAGTGCAAGCAACATGCTAACCTAAGGGAAGCTTAAGAGCAGAACTCTGTATTTGTTCAGACTGTCACAGTGTATTTCCTCAGGGCTGAAAATGAAAGGACTCCAGAGAATCTGTGCTGACTTAGCCCAGGATTTGAAAAGTAGTCAAGGTTTGGGTTGTTACTGCTGGGATTCATTATGATCAAAATATTATGTATCAAGAGACTGCATACAGCTTTGTTGCTGGAACAGTGGTCCACATCTGTGCTTCTTTGACACACAGGATTTCTCCCAGAGCATTGTACATTTTGTTTCAGTGGGTCTTTTCTTGCAGGCCAGCTCAGCACTAGGGGTGGGCCTGAGAGAATGACTAGGCACAATGTCTGTAAGGCACATTGCAGTAAAGTGCAAAAATACTTAAGACATTTCTAAATAAAGTAATATAAAGGTAAAAGAAGCAGAGTAGTTCTACAATATGCTTTTCCCCACTCTGTGGCAGTGCTTATATAGATGTACTGAAAAATATAATAAGCTTCTGTGCTTTCCCCTACAAGTACAAGATTTCAGTTTGACTTCAAAATTAGTATCTATTTGAAAAATAGCTCAGATAGTGTGCTATGCAGTGTCTTCCCCAAGAACGGTGAGATGGAAAACTACATGAGAGATGTGCAGTGATTTTCCTTTATGAGATTACTGGAAGACACTGAAATATGTCCATTAGGAGTACCAATACACAGTAAATTATAGTTTGTTCCAGCACTGTTACTTTAAACCTTTAATCTTTACTCTTCATATTATCTAGTACCAGAATGCTACAGTGCTTTTTCAATTTCTGTTCGCAGGGCCAAAGTCTGACGGCATGGCACATAGTCAGTCACGTCATTTCTGTAAGATTATCATGACTATGCCCTCCTGTTAAATCTTCTGTGATTAATAATTGCTTTGAAACTTCTCAGGCAGACAGCCATTTAGTGTCCTCTTCAAATAATGAAAATGTGAACTGTCTAATTTTGTCTACAGGAAACGACACTCACTGAGTATTGTAGTCAGCGTATTTGCCATCATCCTTGGAGCTTTCATAGCAGCTGGGTAAGGTTTTTCATTTGTTATACAAAGTCATGTTATGAGAGAAAGGACACCAGGAGCATTTTCTTCCTTGTTAAGTGCCAAGTAAACCTAAGTTGAGATCAGTTACTCTGAATTAAGTGGATTTGGAAAATCTCTCTGCTCACATCATTGGGAGATGCAGGAATACAAAAGGAAAAAATTAACTCCAGCTGGAAGTATTTGGGTGATTCTTTCTCCCACTGGGCTTTTCATGCTTGCAGGATCATAAATGAAGCAAGTTAAAACTGTGAGGAATGCTGCTTTTCTTTCATAGTATCAGTGTATTTTATTAATTTTAGAAAAATATATTCTTGTTCTGGGTAGAAAGACCAATCTTTTGGTTGTCAAATATTGTTTTGAGTTAGGCAGCATCTATTTTTTTAACCACTTCTAACAAGTTCAAATGTGAGATTAAGTTCACAAAGCACTCATATGTTAGTCGTCTCTGTTTTTGTTCTGTTTGGACATTCATGGATACTTAACTGGAAATGTAATGTTATTTTTTGTTTCTTGGCTTTGCTATGTACAAAGGTAAGTGATTTCCATGTGATGTGACTCACATAGAGCTGTATCCTATGAAATTAATTACCCTATATCCATGAGGTTATTAGTCAAAACAGAAAGGATGACAATATGTC